CCAGGTCGGAGGAGAGAGTGTGTTGAGCTCTTGCTGGTCAGCCCTGCCCCCTCCTCCTTGTTCCTCCTATCTCTGTGCCAGCTGGAGAGCAGGAGGTCAAGTTCTTGGATCCTGGCCTGCTTCGGCTGTCACGCTGGGACTGTGCGCCAGTGACTCACTCTCTTGGTAAAGCCCAGGTGGAGAGCTGGTGGCCGGCCGTCTGAGTCAGAGTTCAGCAAGGCCAGCAAAAGGCACGGTCAGCGCTTGTGACTCCTGCTCCCACATCGTCAGGTGGCCCGATGCAGCCTGGAGAGATACTTACGCAGAGAGAGAGAAAGAGCGCTGGATGAGGGTCCGCATGTACTGGGGGGCTCCTGTCACTCACTCACCCACTGGCACACTGAGAGTGAAGCAAGCTGAAAGACAGAAGGTTGCATCCCGAGCTTTTCAGGCATTTCTGTTATGGTCAAGCTTAAACAACCCAGCCTGGTTCAAATCCCAGCTGCTCCACTTCAGAGTCTGCTTCTGGCCAACGCACCTGGGAGGCAGCAGAGGACGGTTCAGCTGCGCGGGTCCCTGCCGCCCACCAGTGACCCGGATGGAGCTGCAGGCGCTTGGCTTCCGTCTACCTCTGCCCCAGCTGTTGTGGGCATCTGGGGCGTGAACCAGCAAATGGAAGATTCCTATCTTCACCCATCTCCTCCTCTGCCATCACCCAGCCCTTCAAATATATAAATAATATTAAAAAAAAAAAAGGAGGGAATGCAAGTGGAGGACACAGCAGGGGACAGGCTAAATTCAACCACAAACATCTAAGCTCTACTGCATGCCAGAATGTATGGGTGGTAAGTCTATTACTAAGTGAGACAATCCAGGCCTGCCTGTCCCATCCCTCCCCCACTGGGTGCCCACAGGGGGTGAAGGGAGACCTTCAGCAAATGAGAGGGGACCCATGGGATCCCTGGGCTACCATCCTCAAGCAAGCCTGACTCCCGTGCCTCTATTACCGCCCAGGACAATGAGCTGGATGGTTCGCAGCACTCACGGCTTGGGGGGAGCAGGAAGGCACCGTGACCTGCCACCTGCAGTATTCCCAGCTCCCGCTTAAGAGCCAAGACCTGTGCCCTCTGCGACTGAGAGAGGCTGGGACGGAGAAAGGTGTTGGTGAGGGGGCACCTGCAGGAGAGGGAAGCAGGGTGTGCTGCTTGGTGGTGTGAGCCCACCGTGAGGCAGCTGGGGCTCTGGGAGTTACCAAGTATGAGCAGCTTGTCCTTGGGCTCCCTGGCACGGGTGGGAACTGCAGTACCGGCCCTTCAGCCCTAGGAATAAGGAATTGCTTACTGTTCCACTCTCCCCAGAGAGCAACGGGGTGAGGTGGGGGGCTTGGGAAGGACCCAAGTTAGACCCATGTCCTCTCCTCCCACGTTGCTCCTTTGTGGCCCGAAGGGGGTCAAGTGCACGTGGCCGTGAATTCCGGGCAAATCGCAATTTTTTCCCCCAGTGTTGTCAACACGGCCTCAGTGGTGAAGGTGGCGCTGGAGCCTGGGCCGGGTTCACGGAGCGCACTTCACCTCTCCTCCCCAAGCAAAATATCACCAGCCCCAGGGCATATGGGGTGAGCAAAACGCGGGGAAAGGCCGGGGCGGCCCGGAACGCTTTCGCTGGAAGCAGAGCAGAAAGTTCGCTGCTTGTTTACGATTCGGCCGGGAGACAAACTCTTGGGCCTGCTCCCCCTACCCCCCCTCCGCCGCACCCAAGGGTTTACGACGTTGGGGAGCCGGCCGGCCAGCCCCTCCTCCCCTGCCGGCTGCCCTCGGGGTCGTGGGGCGCTGGAGGGCAGAGGGCAATCTGTCTCCGCACACGTGGAACAGGAACCCGCACCTGCCCCCGCTTCTAAGAACGCGGCTTGCGATGGGCTGGGAGTCGGGGGGAAGGGACGATTTCTGCAATTTCGGGGATCAAGATCCCCGGTTCCTGCGCGCAGGTGAAGATGGAGAAAGTCCACTTCCCCGGTACTTGGCGGTGCAAAGTTAGGGGCTCTGCGTGTGCGTCCCCAGCGCAGCGACGAGCGGCTGCCCGGCAGGGGCGCGCTCCCTGCCCAGCCTGGCCCGCGGCGCCCGATCCCACCGGGGCTCCAGCGCTCCCGGAGCCCCCGGGGCGGCCAGCAGGCGTGGTCAGCGGCCGGCCCGCCCCTTTGATGTGCGCCGGCGCCGCCGTGATTGGAGAGTCGCTTGTGACGTGCGGGGACTGCGGTGCGCCCGGGTGCTGCAGCAGCCGCAACGGCGGCCGCGGCTCCGGCTCCCCGGCATTTAAAGGGGACGCGGCGGCAGCCCGGGGGGATGGGGGCAGGTGTAGGGGACGGTCCAGACGCATATCATCCACGGTCCTTAGGGACCGGAGGGACTGGTGAGCTGAAGCCCAGAATTCCGGAGGTGGAGAAGACAGCGCGTCCTCTCCAATCCCCGTAAGCACCGCCGGCTCCGTCCTGCGCCCCATTACCTTAGGCAACCCCCTTGCCCACGGGTTACTCTGCAAACTCAGCCGGGACAGACCCTGTCACCGCCGCCCCCTATTGCCACGTGAGTCCGGGACTGGGTGTGGGAGGTCGGGCAAGACGGGGGTCCCGGCTTTGGGCGGGGGCTGTATACTCTTGGAGGGCGCTCCTGCACGCGCGTGGCGGTGGCGGGGGGCTGTCCCCGAAGGAGAGGAATGACTGCCCTCCCTCCTCTCCCAGGAACGTGGCTCCAGGATACCCGTCTTGTCCCCGGCTCCGCTGAGCCCTGCAGTTGGTGTCCCTTGCTCCCCGCCATGCCCAAGCTGGCACCCCCTGCCCGCAGCGGAGCGGAGCGCCCGCCAGCTGGGGGTGTGCCAGGGTGCCTGCTTCCCAGTCACCTCTAAAAATATCTCTTCCCCCCACCCCACCCCACCGGCAGCTGCCGCCTCCTTGCCCCTACACCGCCAGGATCCCCTTCAGCGAGGGAAAACCCTGGATAACAACAGCCAGTCGCAGGGTGCAGGTCTGTCAGGACAGACCTCAGGGAGGCCTCTGGCTAATGTGCCCACCACAGGCTCAAGAAACTTGAGTTCTAATTGTGATTCTAGCACGTTGCGCCGCCCCCCCCCCCCCTCAGGATGAAGGCTTGACCTCTTTGGGCCATTTTTCCTTTTGCTTCCTTGGTTGAGGAGTACGGGAGGAAGAGGGGTCTGGGAAGGTGGACATGCTGCCTGAGGGAACACCCACTGAGTGGTGTGGTTAGATTTCTAGTTGGTGGATGGCTGTTGTCCTGAGGAAGACTGTCTCAAAACTTTCCTGGGGGCTCCAGTCAGCCCTGAAGAGGGGACATTTGCATTTGCAAACCCAGAGCTTCTGTCCCAGAGGGGAGGGAGGCCACGGGGGACCAGGCATGGAGTCTATTGGAACTAGAAGGGATCACATGCACACATGCACACACACACACACACACACACACACACACACACACACACATCTTAGGGAACACCCAAGGGAAATCTCCTCTGCCCTCCCTCTCCCCTCCCAGCCCCAGGGAGAAGCTGAGGCAGGGTCCCACCCCGGGACAAAACTGTCAAGGGTGAGTGCCTTTTGGAATGTTGTGAAGACTGACAGGGACACAGGGTCCCCAGAGTACTGGGGGGCGTGGGTGGTGGTGGTGAGATGTCACAGACTCAACACCGAAGCAGGCTTTACCGATCACCCCACACCCTAGTATGAAAGATGTAACTGCATCTTGTACTGTGATCAGCCTTATACATAAATATCAATAGAATACTTCAGAGAGACAAGAAAGGAAAGTACAGCAAACTCAGGGGTCCCTGATCTGGGGGGGCGCGATGCCAGTGAGTGGCCTTCTCTGTTCTTTGTGTCTGTCCCTTGTCCACCACGTGCCTGCCCATGTTCACTTTTGCAAAGGGAGTGGCAAGCCCCGACCCCGACCTTTTTCCTCTGACTTGCCTGGCCCAGATGGGACATCTGATACCAGCAGAGAGCCCGTCCAGGGATGGCCCTGGCACCTGCTGCCTCACACATCATTCATTTGCTTCTCCCTCCCCCATCTTCTCCTTAACCTGTCTCTCCTCCCACCCTCTTTCCCTTTGCCCATTGCCCCTTACAGTTGGGGCTGACCCTCCCAATTCCTAGGTTAAAAAGATCCGCAGGAAAAAGCAAAGATCCACATCTCATCCTTGCCTAGAGGATTGAATGCAGGTGTGGTCAGCGAGTTGGAGAATGAAGGAAGTCCCTCAGGGCAGAAGATACTGGTATCTGGAACTTTATGCTGGGATGTCCCAGTCCCTGACCTGGGTGACAACTGCTTCTCCCTGCTGCCCTGGGATGGCCCCGCTGTGTCACCTTGACGGTCTGAGGGGATTACAGTAGCGCACTGCCACCAGCAGAGGGCAGCAGCCAACCAGGCCTTTGCCCCGCTCCCAGTTCAAGGATGCTGGTGCTTGGCCCGAGTTTAGCCTTCCCCTGCAGATTACCAGGGTTTATTTTACCAAAAGCTAGGGTGCTGGAGCCAGGATCTGCCCCGTGTCATCTACAACCTATCTGGCACCCCAGGGGGTTGCTAAGGGAGATGCTTAGAACCGTGCCTGTTTGGGAAATTTCCTGACAGACAGGCCCTGGCCAGATGGGCATTCATGGCGACAGCAGAACCAGCTGCTTGGCAGGCATCCCCCTAACGGGATTTTGCGTTTGTCAGGTGCTCTGGATGACAGCTGGATGCCAACAGATTTCCTCCACGTGGTGTTCAGGGTGATGCACTGACCATGAGTGCGTGTTTTCCAGTGGCTGGGCTCCGGTGCCTGTCTAGGGTGAGTGGGTCCCTCCCCAGGAGCCTCCCAGAGAACACCGTACCAACCCCCACCTTCCACCGCGTGGTTGGAGGGGCCCTTACCACCCCTGGGACTCTGCTCACCCAGCAGCCCTGATGGAGGCCTCCCATCCCCCCGCCAGGGATGCTGAGACACTCAGCAAGATGTTCACAAAGCCAGAGGAAGGAGTATTTCGGGGGACATTTCTGTTTTAATCCATCTTGTGAAGTACAGAGCTAGGACTTCTGTTTTACAAACAGTGCCAGGCCATGCACATGCCAGGGGTTTCAGGGCAGTGGGAGGGAGGCAGGACAGGAAGGGAACCCAGAAGAGGAATTGGTCCCCTACCCCTTGCAGCTGAGTTGAGAGGCCGGGAGGGAGAAGGGCCAAGGTGACAGGGTCATGTTGCAGGGGCTCTGGCCATGTGGGTTTGCTTGCCTCTCTGTGCCCTGACCCCTCCGCTCAGCACAACCCTCGTACAAAGTCCCCACTTCCTGGAGCATCCCCCCATCTTCCTGTCTAGCAGTCTGTCTCCCAGCTCCATGAGCACCACTTCCTCTGCACTGGCCCCTGGCCCCATCACCTGCTCTGCTCTTCTGCATTTTTCAGCTTCTGTTGCTCTTTGCTCTCCCCCTTACCTGCCCCCCTACCAGGTGTGTCGTGGCCTGGCTCCCACCTCGCCTAGCCCCGCTGCTTCTCCTGCTGCCCGCTTGCTTCGGATTCTGGCAGAGACCCCATCCGCTGACACGTCCCTCCCGGGGAACTGGCAAGTGACTAGGGATGAGCCAGCTGGCCACCTAGGGCCCTAACAGCTCCTGGGGAGACTGCACGCTAGCCCCACCTCCTGGCCCTGAACACTGAGGCAGCGCCCCCCAACACCTGCCCCAGGGCTGGAAGCAGCTCCCAGAGAGCCTTCAGGGTCTAGAGACCCCCAAGGCAAGGAACTCTCCGGGTGGGGATCCGAATCACCTACTGGAGCTGATGCTCCTTGTACCTGTGCTTCGGATGCTGCCCCAACGCCTTCCCTGAGACCATCTGACACGCTTCACAAGGCTTCCCAAAGACATGAAAGAGGAGCGGGGGAGGGAAGGAGGATGGTCTGCTTGCTTTCTTGGCTTTGGGCGGGAGGCAGGGAGTGGGAAACTCCTTGTCCATAGGATACCGGGGGCAGCTTAAGTTTCCCCAATAATCTCAGGGCTGACCCTTGCTAAGGCCCAGTAATCCGGGCTGAGAGTGACCTAGGAAGCCCTTCTGGCAGCAGCGGGTTAGAATGGTCTTGGGGCGCACAGTGCACTGACAGGTGTGGTGGCGGGGGCGAGGTGGGGCGAGCACACGGGGCACGCTTCCCAGCTTAACCAGCCATGGGTTTTCCTCAGGTCTTGGATGTGCCAGCGCCTCTGGCCGTGGCCTGCTAACCAGCCTCTCCCTGGCCGGCTCCCGCCGCGCCCCCTCTCGCTTGCCTCCTCCTCCTCCTCCTGCTCCCCGACCCCCTGCTCCCAGGACCGCAGCGGGATGGCTGCCCAGGGTGCGCCGCGCTTCCTCCTGACCTTCGACTTCGACGAGACCATCGTGGATGAAAACAGCGACGACTCGATCGTGCGCGCGGCGCCGGGCCAGAGGCTGCCCGACAGCCTGCGGGCCACCTACCGCGAGGGCTTCTACAACGAGTACATGCAGCGCGTGTTCAAGTACCTGGGTGAGCAGGGCGTGCGGCCGCGGGACCTGCGCGCTGTCTACGAGGCTATCCCGCTGACGCCGGGCATGAGCGACCTGCTGCAGTTCGTGGCCAAGCAGGGCACCTGCTTTGAGGTCATTCTTATCTCGGACGCCAACACCTTCGGAGTGGAGAGCGCGCTGCGCGCCGCCGGCCACCACGGTCTCTTCCGTCGCATCCTCAGCAACCCGTCGGCGCCCGATGCGCGCGGCCTGCTGGCGCTGCGGCCCTTCCATTCACACAGCTGCGCGCGCTGCCCCTCCAACATGTGCAAACACAAGGTGCTCAGCGACTACCTGCGCGAGCGGGCCCGCGACGGCGTGCACTTCGAGCGCCTCTTCTACGTGGGCGATGGCGCCAATGACTTCTGCCCCATGGGGCTGCTGGCGGGCGGCGACGTGGCCTTCCCACGCCGAGGCTACCCCATGCACCGCCTCATCCAAGAGGCGCAGAAGGCCGAGGCCGGCTCCTTCCGCGCCAGCGTTGTGCCCTGGGAGACAGCGGCCGATGTGCGCCTCCACCTGCAGCAAGTGCTCCAGTCGTGCTGAGGACAGCCGCCGGCTGGGAGCGCCCCGGAACGCGGGGGACATTTCCTGGGAGGCCTGCGGGGATGTGGGGTGGTCCTCCCTGGCTATTCCCATCTATGCAGTGAGCTCCTCCCAGCTGCACCGCAAACCGTTCAGCTGGCGCGCCACGGGGGTGATGCGAACACCTGGGTTAACAATGGTGCCATCCTTCGCGCAGCGTGGAAGGTGACCATCCCCTCCCTAGCCACACACACTCCTTGCTCGGCCTCCTTACGACCCCCTGCCCCATTGTCTATCCAAGGGGCAGAAACATCCTAACACCCCGGTGGAGAAGGTCCCTGCCGCTGCGTGGTCCCCGTGGTCCCCTCTGCGATGAAGTATTCGCTGCTGCATTTCCTCCCTGGGTCCGCCCCGCCAAGAGGCGGGTACGCGGTAGCCCATCCCCCGACTCAGGTCCAGCCCGCCGGGGACCGCGTGGCTGCGTGCACCCCATGTTTCCTCCGCAGACACCACACCAAAGCCGTCCTTCCCTACTCCCCACACCCCGCCACCCGTATGGAACAGAAAGCCATGATGTTTTTAAGCAGAGCCAGGGAAGCCCGTGTCCCCCGCCCCTCTGGTGTTACAACTATAAAGCAGGTGAAGGGGAATGCTTGGCTCAGAACTGTCGCGTCGCAATCGGAGGCGGGGAAGGAGGGGCGCCGTGCCCTGGTGCGACCGTAACTGAAGGTGTCACACACATTGCAAGCACAGTGCAGAGGGGGAAGGGGCAGTCCGCGGCTTCACTGACCCCTGTCTGTCCTGCTCTTCTGGCCCCTATCCCTGCGGGGCGGTCCTGGGCGGCTCGATTTTATTCTGAGTTGGCACTTGCAGTAGCTGGAGACCCCGCCCTGCCTGTGGGAAGGGTTCCCTGCGGCTGGGATGGGGGTCGTGGTCTCCGAATCTGTCCGATTTGTAGCAAGTCTTCTGGGTACCTCCACTCTCCCCAGAACTGCCGCCACCTACAGCCCTAGAGGCAGACAGAGCCTGCTCCTGCTGGCCGCCGGCTGGCACGGGTGGACGCCAGGAGAGGCTTGCTCCGTCAACAGCTGGGCTGCACGTAGTTCCCGGGGAAGAATCCCGTGCCATCGGAACTGACGCCCTCGCACCAGCCGTCGGAGTAGCGACGGGTGACGCAGATGATGGTGCCCTCCGAGAAGGACAGCTCATTGTCCTTCTGCCGGGTGTAGGGATACAGCGTCACCACTGCGGGACAAGGGAGAGCGCGTTGTGACCAGGCACAGATTGAATGCCGGGAGAAGGCTGCAGGAGCAGGCTGTTGTGTGTTGGCAGTGTGTGTGGGAGGGTGCTTCTCCCAAAGCTATGTGACCCCTCCCCAAATCATTTAGGCAAGCCGCTGTCTGCCTGGTCCACCCAGAACAGTGTTTGCGTAAAGGCGAGGTGGAGGGGCACACCGCTTTGCAGGAGGGAGGAGGCTGGCATAGTGGGCGGTGGGCATTGCAGCAGCAGAGGACAGAACCCGGGACAAGGGACGCGGGACCCGAGGCAGGTACCTTTCTCCAAGTAGTCTGCAGGGACCCAGCTGGGCTCCTCTGGCCCAAAGCCCGGTGGCGGCGGGGGCAGCAGCCCCAACTCATCCACGTCCAAGGGTGGAGGAGGAGGCAGCTCTGCGGCTGGGGGCGAGAGACAAAACGGGGCAGGGTGCTGCCCGCTGCCGCCGGGGGAACTCGGCTGCTGAACCTCCACCCCCCACAGTACCCGCGACTCCGTGCCAACTCCCACAGGTGCCGAGCCCGCACCAGCTGAAGGCCTGGGCAAGTCTGCGGAGTGCAGGTGGAAGCGAGAGAACCGCTAGGGAGCTGGCTACCTGGGTCCGATGCGGAGCCAGGTCATGCGTTTGCTTTCTCCACGCCCTTTCCCACCCAGGGCCAAGCGTTCACCGGGGTGGCCGGCTCAGAGCCCAGAGGCACGGGATGGGGACCGCGTCGGGAAGTGGCAAGGCACCCCCGGCTCCGAGGAGGGCAGGGTCCTTACCCGGAGGGGGCAGAGACAGCTCCTCCAGGGGAGGGGGAGGCAGGAAGACTTCGGCGGGTGCTGGAGGAGGAGGCGGGCCGGCGGCGCCCGGGAGAGGTGGGGGTGGGGGTGGGGGCGCCTCCTGTGTGTTCATCGGGGAGACCCCTTCGGTGCTGCTGTGAAGACGGGAGAAAGCGGGGCCTGGCTCGCATGAGAGACGCGCTTGGCCACTGTACATCCTGGCCGGCTGTAGCCCCATCCTGTGCTAGTGGTCCAAGTTCTGAACCCCTGGAGTCCAGGACCCCCAACCCCGCCTTCCGCCCATCCACAAGGACTGGAAAGGCTCACCCTGCCGAAACCAGGGACGAGGCGGATGAGGCGGCGGAGAGCTTGCCGTCCGGCACCGTGGGGAGCTGTACCGGCTCTGGGATCCGGGGTGGTCTCCTGCGGTGGGAGGCAAAGGGGACCATGAAGAGGGAGGGGGGAAGGCTTCTTCCAGGAGAAGGGGGTAAGGTGCCAACCTTGGGCCGGGCATCCTGAACGCCACCGAGGCGCAAGATGCTGGGGACCCGTGGGCCAGGTGGGCGGGGGTCGCGGCGTGGCCTCACCCTAGTGTGGCAGAGGCCGGTGTGGCAGGGGCCTTGATGCTTTTGCGAGACAGGGTTCCGGTCCGGGACAGCTGCGTGCTCAGGTCCTGTGCGACAGAGGGGCACAGGCCTGAGGTCTGGGGTGGCGATGGGCGCCCCGCACCGCACTCCGGAGAGGAAGTGGGGGAAGGGCGCGAGAGACCCAGAAGGGAGACCATGCATACCGCGAGTTCCCACTTCCACTTCCCAGGCCCCACTGGCCTCCCGCCCCCAGCCCGCTGAACTCAGGCAACCGAAAGAAGCCTAGAAACGCAGTCTGAGGGCCACTTCCTGTGCGTGGCCACAGCTGACTGAGTGGAGACTGGGGCTCACCCCAAGCCATCTCAGAGCCCAGCCGGGGCGGGGGTGGGAGGTGATGTTGGGGGGCTCCCTAGCTTTGCAAAGAGGAGGAAGAGGAGCTGGGGAAAGTAACTTCCCACATCTCACGTTCCTAAACCAGTGGACCCAGAATTCTCAGCGGAAGTGCAGACAAGTGCAAACTGGGACGGAGCTAACTCTGTTAGCTGGGGGGAGGGGAAGGGCCATCTGCTGGCTGCACCTCACCAGGGACAAAACAAAGGTACAACAGGAAGAACTTCCAGGTCGGGAGGTGACTGTAGGGGGTCCTGGGAGAGCTGAAGCAGGCAGCTGCGTGCACCTTTGCTCACCTCCAAGAAGACCAAAGTTGAGAGGGCAACGCCGGCCAGCATCAAGGTTCCCTGTTCCTGCATCCCCTTCCCCCAGCTCCGGGTGACTGCACCGAGCAGTACCTCAACCCCCAGACAGAGGAAGTTGCTTTGGCTGGGGCTCGGTTCTCATGTTCTCACGCCCGCCCTCCCCTTCCCGCTCTGCACCCAGCACCCACAGAAGAGGAGTCTCAGTGGGGGCAGGGAAGGATGGTTTCAGAGAAAGGTGAGGGCGGGTAGTGCCTGGAGAGAAAGCAGCCACGAAGGAGGAGAGAAAAGGTCCCTGGAGAAAGAGGATGGATCCCCATGGCTACCTTGATCCCATGGCCAATGTCATCCAGGCAGCCAAAGTTGAGGGGTCTTCTGTAGTAGGGTGTGAGCGGGGGGAGGCTCTCGGGGGCGATGACCTTCTGGCCAGGGGGCAGCTGCTGGACAGTAGCTAAGGTGCCAATCTCCCGGCGGGCCACTTTCTCCATGTGCATATTCACCATCTATGATGTAGGGTTGGAGATGATCATGGCAGGGCTGGAAGGGGTGTCTTATCCAGCCCCCTTCCTTTTAGGGAACAGGATAGAGATACCGGGTGGGGACAGGGACTGGAGGAGGCCATGAGGGCCAGAGAAAAAAAAGCGTTTTTGTCCCCACGGCCACACAGCCATTGGGAAAGGAGGGAGAGGACAGAGTCACTTTAGAGCAACTTCCTGGAGGAAGTGAAGGAAGGTTATTATTAGCCTGGCAGGAACAAGAGGAAGAGGGACAACAAGACATCCCTGGACAAGCTGGGAAGAGGCCCAGGAGCAGAGGGGACCACAGGGAGTTGGTGGAGAAGGGTGGCCAGCTTTGCTCTCCCTTCCCCAGGCTACGCAAACCCCAATCTAGCTTCCTCTTGGGATGTTCTGCAGCAATACGCACAGCCCTGAAGGTGGGGCCTGCCATGGTGAACGGAAGGACACACCCCAGGCTCTGAGAACGGGATGGGGGGAGTGTCCTGCTGGCCATGTCCACAGGGGACTGGATCTGCACAGGCACTTGGCAGAGCCCTGGGTCAGGGCCCTAGGAAGGAAGGGAGAAGGGAAGGGGAAGTGGGACAGAGGGGCGGAGGAGTGGGGAGGGGGCATGCTCCAGCCATCAGCGGTGACTTGCAAGCACTGGGTCTGTCTGCTGTCACGGGCAGGCAGTGGTCCTTGGTCTCCTTTCTCTGCCTTTGCACCCTCCGTGGTTGGTCATCTCCACTTTCTAACATCCAGAATAGATAGCAAAGAAAGAGCAAAGTTCTACACGTAGGGAGTTTGTGGAGCGATGTGGCATCATGCCCTATGCCTGGCACACCGCCATAAGGATAATGAGTCCCCAAAACGCTCCAGAAAGCTGGAGGAAGGCACCAGGGGACTTCAGCCACTCAGACACGTTGGGGCATGCCCAAGGAGTCCAGGGTTGAGGTGACATGCAGCGACTTCTTTCTTACCTGGCCTACTGTGCTGACACGGGCCTCCACCTGCCTTAGGGCAACCCCCTGCAGTTCCAGCATGCGTAGAGTGTGTCCTGCCAGGTTGCCCACCTGGTAGGCCACACTGGCCAGAGCCTGGGTGGTGAAGGCCATGGTCTCCTCCAGCGCCTTCCGCTTGTCCGTGGCCTGAAATACACAGGGCCCTTGGCCTGAGGTCAGCATCTCCCCTGGCCGAGTAGGGTAGGAGAGGGGACAGGGAAGGCAGCAGTGAACCAGGAGAAAGGGGCAGCCTGCCGGTGTCTGAGCTGATATCCGTGAGAATGATACTGCTGTAAGAGGGACTAGGGTTATGGGGAGATTGACTGCAGACTCGGGGAACAGGTGAAGGGGAGGCAAGGACACTGCTCCCCTGTCCCCAAGCCTAGGATCCAGTGGTTAACCTCCTGCTCGCCTTCCCGAGGACTTCCATTACAAGCCGTGTGCGTGGCGGGGCGTTGAGAGGTAGAAGGTAGGCAGGAAGGTAGAAGGTGATGCTGACTGCAAGAAACCTCCAAAAGCTTAAACGCAAATGAATCAACCTCAAGATTCAAACTGGAATCCTCAAAGCGTGGGGCCAATGAAGCAGTTGGTGTTTGTCATCTCAGAACGCTTTCATTCTTCATCCATTCCCCATCACGGCTTCCCAGTATGCCAAGAATAAAACCCCAGCTCCCAACCAGGGCAGCTTACACACAGCGCCCTCCGGATCTGACCCCCTACCTTTCTCTTCCCATCATCCGCCCCACTCTTGCTCCCTCTCACACCCCTCCAGCCACACAAGCTGCTGGATTTCTGCTGCTCAACAGGGACTATGGTCTCTGCCTCCGGGCCTTTGCACCTGCCAGGCCTCTCCTTAGAATTCTGCTAGGAGGTCTTAGCTTGCCACCCAAGATTTCTCTTCTCTTACTTCTGTTGACTCACTGTCCTATTTATCCGATTCTGTGTTCTTCCTGGCACTTGGCACTATCAAACAGTATTGATCTTTATTATCTTGCCCCCCCCCCCATCGCCCACAATACACCCCTAAAATGTGTGATAACAGCAGCAAAATTTGCTGTTTTCTTGTGTGCACTGTTCTAGAATAGATCCTGGCACACAAAGACACTTTACAAATGTTCTACTGTAAGTTTCTTACCTATTGCACAGCTGTGTAGGGGGCGGAGGGAGCAGAGAATGGCAGAAGACAAGGTTTTTGTTGTTGTTGTTCCAGATCAGACCATTGCCAGCTGGGGCAGAACTTCCCAGGTCTGTTGGCTGTTGTTCCCCCAAGCAGCTTCCTCATCTCTGCCCCTACCCTAGAGTGGCCACATTCTAGCCTCTGCTGTCTGCCCTGAGGAGCAGAGGATAGATCCGGGGTGAATTTGGGGTACCTGGAGGACTCAGAACAAGGCTGTACTCTAGAGTCTTCTTGCCCAGTCACTCAGGTGCTCGCTCAGAGTCAATCAGTGGTGGGCTGTCCTGGCCATTTTCAGGACAGGGTTCTGGGAGAGACCAGGATGTCCCCGGGGTGGCCTGAGCCACGACTTGCCGGGAACCCCAGATTGTGCCCCTCTCCCCTGATAGTAGGGAAGAGATGCTCTGTGGCATGTCATCAGCATCTGTAACCACATTTGCATCTCATCAGTCTGTGTCACTGAGAGAGCCTTGAATAGACCACGGAATCAACTGAGGATGCTATAAGCAGAAAGGATGGCAGGGCTTGGTCTTGTTCTGGTAAGAGAAGAAACACGTCCGGCACACGTGGCTCTCTGAGCTTGCCTCGCTGCTCATGTGCAGCTCCCTGCCTCATGCCCAAACAGCGAAAGTGTCTGGGCCCAACCCTGGGGGCCTCAAGCCTGGATATCTGAGGAGTCTCCTGGCTTTGGTCTTGGCCTACAGCTAGGCCTGCAGGGACAGAATCTTTGTGGTTGGCTGCCTGCTGGTCCTCGATGCAAATGAGCCTGTGCACAAACTCCTTCAACCTTGACTGAGAACTCCGCAACTGACCCAGTCAGCCCTTTCCTGCCCCCCCAACCCCTGCCCCAAGTTTCCTGATGCCTGATTGGGGTGGGGCAAGAGGGTAATGGGGACGGAGAGCGTGGGAACAAAACCTTCCTCAAAAACCAATCTGAGAAATCACCCCACTCCTTCTTAATTACTCGCTCCCCACGCAGCCGGGTTGTGTGGTGTGGCAGTTAGCACTGTACACAAAGGTCGCAGGTGCCCAGGGGGTCCAGCCTGGGTCAGGGTTTCTGCAACCCAGGGTATTTCATGCATTATTATTCACACATGTCTGATAGGTAATAACCATAGTAGTGGATGGCATATACTGGGATTTTCTGGGTCTAGCGCCTTCCCAAATTCTCCCACTGAACCTGCATGACTAGCCCTGAAGGACACTGGGGTCAGCGGGGAGGCTTGCCACTGTCCTAAGTGGGCAGCAAGGCTAGGTCTGGGACTCAGGTTGGTGTACCAGTCTGGCTCCAGCATTCTGGAGGCATGAATCCGGCTCTGCCACCAGCACAAAGGCCTCTGGGAAAGTGGCTTAACCTTCCCAAAGCTCAGGCTCCTTGCTGGACCTGGCGTTCGTCTCACTCGCCTGGGCTGCAGATGCAGGAAGGCCCCATAGGGAACCTGCTTGTCCCAAGGTCAGGACATGGGCCCCTGGCACTGGTGTCGTCATTGCCACTCTTTCATCTGGCATTTTCCCATGAACACTTGCTCCTCTGGCTTTTCTTTTTGAGGCTCTCAACACGCTGAGTGTGGGTGGGGGGATCCCTGTGCTCAACACAGACTGGGAAAACAAGGTTGGCTAATGGGGAGGAGGCCAAGGACAGGACCCGGTCAGCTTCCAGGAAAGGCTAGAGCAAGAAACGAGCTCAGGGGCCAGGCATCAGGGAGCCTGGAGCTGAAGCCTACTCTGTTCTCCTGGAGCTGCGTGACCTGTGGGAAGTCACAGCAGCTCCCCAAACTGCCAAGTCCACACCCTTAAAGCACCTGACAGAATGCCTGCTCCCATGGGCACTGACGAAGCAGCAAAGGCTTCAGACATCCCTAAATTCTCTGTCCAGGAATCCATGTCCTCCGAGCCTGTGACCATCACACTATTTGTAAAACTATGCCTAAAAAAAAAAAAAAAAAAAAAAAACAACAACTCCCATAGGAGCCAGTGTGATGGTTCAATTGGCTAATCCTCTGCCTTGCTGCGTCCGCATCACATATGGGCACCGGTTTGTGTCCCGGCTGCTCCACTTCCCATCCAGCTCTCTATTTATGGCCTGGGAAAGCAGCAGAGGATGATCCAAGTGCTTGGGACCCTGCACCCATCTGAGAGATCCAAAAGAAACTCCTGGCTCCTGGCTTCAGTTCAGCTCAGCTCATTTGGGGAGTGAATCAGCAGATGGAAGATCTTTCTATATCTCCTCTCTGTAAACACATGCCTTTTGAATAAACATAAATATGTCTGACCAAAAAAAAAAATATTGCCTCCCTCTTCATCTTTGGCTGTTACTGGTTTGGCTGCTGGTACCCTCATCCCTCAGCAGCACTGAGATCCTGCCCACTCCCCCTGAACCAAGACCACCCTGCCTTCTGCAAATATCAGGAGAACTTTTTTCCTGAGCTTCCCAAGCGCACTCTCACACTGGGAAAGTTCTTGCAAAGTCTCACCAAGAGTCTTCCCAAAAGAGGGTGATGCAGCCGCCGTCTGTGGGCAAGGGTTCTGAGAGAGCTGAAGCCAGGATGGGGGAGGCCTGGGGCTAGAGTGGAATAGCACTTGCCCAACCCCATGATGCCCAACCCCAGCATCTCTGGGGCTCCACTGACTTAGGTGAAACTCAAGGATGAAGTTTAATGCTGGCAGGGGGTGGGCCTCTCAGCCAGAGCTCAGGGATAGGCACCTGTCAGGATGGCTGCCACGGCTGGGCTGTGCCTGGGCTGTGTACTCTCCCTGGAGTGGCAGTGGGCAGACTGCACCCCTCCACCTACCTGCACATAGTTCTCCTCGCAGTAATCGGCGACACGCAGCAGGGCGCTGTGGTTGTCCAGCAGAGCCTCCCGGCCCGCGGGGATGTCCAACTCCTGAAGCTGCTGTAGCTCCGCCATGGCCCCCAGCCTCTGCCTGGCTCCCCCGGGAGCTGCTGGTTTTGAGCCTCACTCTGACTTTGATTGGTTGCTCCGCCTGCCCGCCCTCTCTGCTTTTGGTTTCCTCTGTGTGAGAGCCCCAAAGCTGCTGGTGAAGGGCAGGCATGCTCATTTGGGGACAAGAGGAAGTCAGATCCTGCTCCCTGGGCCTGAGCCTCTGTCCCTTGTCTCGGAGGAAGGGGGAAGCCGGTGGCAGTGGGGGGAGGAGGAGAAGGCGCCTGTTTGGGGGCCCAGCCCCCAATTCCACCCAACAGAGGAAACCGAGGTCGTCCTGGCTGCGATTGCTCCCTAGTCCCAGAGAGGAAACTGGTTGGCGGGGGGATGGGAGGGGAGGCTAAGAGGAAGGGGGCTGGCCTGCATGATGATGGGGTGGAGGGTGGAGGTAGATATTCCACTCATGGAAGAGTGGGGAGGAAAGGGCAGAGGGTGGGGGCTTCCTTGGGAAGCTCAGGGATGAGTCACCGACGGATCAGGAGTACAGGGTGGGGACTTGGGGGGACAGCGGTCAGCCCGGCAGCAACAATGGAAAACGGACTGAGGCAGCAGTGAGGAGAACTGGAATTGGAGACCAGGAGGACACAGGCAGGGGCTGCGGCGATAGACCAGTGCAGGGTCTGGAGCCAGAGAGTCCTGCTAAGCACGCTCTAAGTCTGCTGGAGTCCAAGATGGAGGCCGGCCTCTGCAGCGGGAGGGACTCTGAGTAAGCTGCAAGAAGCACCGGTCGGAGAGAAGCACCAGGTTCAGACTGTAAGCTGACCTTCCAGGCCCAGGAAGCAGCGGCGGAGCTCTTGAGGTACAGGCCCCAGTCCACGCGTGACAAGGCAGCTGGCCTGGGCGGCTCCAGGTCCTCACTTGGATCCTGGCACAAGGAACAGTGGGACGGACAACAGCCATCCTCCTGTCCCTCCTGCCACCCAGTCTGTCCTCCTAGACCATGGGCCTTAGAAGGCCTAGTACTGCCAAGGCAAGCACAGGTGGGACTCTAAATTCAATACATCCACAGCAAGCTAATTTCCAAGTTACTAATGGGGGTTGGTGTTGTGACATAGCTGATTAAGCTTCCACTTGAGACACTGGCATCCCAAATGGGCACTGGTCAGAGTCCTGGCTGCTCCACTTCTGATCCAGCTCCCTGCTAATGCGCCTGGAAAAACAGCAGAGCCCAAGTACTGGGCTCCTGTTACCACGTGGGAGACCCTGAAGAAGCTCCAGGCTCCTGGCTTCTGGATCGGCCCTGATCATTGCAGCCGTTTGGGAAGTGAACCAGTAAATGAAGGATTTTTTTTCTCTGTCCCTCTTGCTCTCTCTGCAATTTTGACTTTCAAATAAATTTTTAAAAATATAAATCTTTAAAAATAAATAAAGATCAAAATGGCCCTGGGCAGAGGACAGTTTCCCTGTCCTAGAGGCTGGGAAAGGAGAGGAACCTCATTGGCCACGGTGATCTCTTAGCACCTCCTGCTCCAAGGGGTCCCTCGTCACCGCTTGGGTGTCAGCCTGAGCCAGGCTTAGGCTCAGGTAAATGACCCAGTGCATAGGCTGTCCTGGGAGCAGAACCAAGAGAAAGGCCAGGCGCTCAGACCCTAGGTAAGAGAGAGCGGAACTCGGGGCTCAGGGGGCGTGGAGGGCAAGCGGAGTGCTCGCAGGCATTCAAGGTTGTTCTGGCCCCAAAGCTAAGTGAGCAAAGTCGGGGAGGAGCAGGAGACCCCCGTGGGGCACAATTGTGCGAATCCCAGTGCTGGAGCTGACACTAAAAGGCTTCCAGGACTAGGAAAGCTAGGGGCTGGGCCACGACTTATCCTCAGGAGAAATAGCCCCAGGGTGTGCTCCCCTGCTGGGAAGAGGGCAGCGGTGGGAGGCTGGAGGGTGGGAGCCCTAGAAGAGGCACTAAGTCTGGGAGGTCTCTGGGGTGCAGGAATGAAGGTGAGGGGCTGGTGGGGTTGAGGCAGGTGGATTTAGTGTCAGACCCTGGGCGGGCCTTGATGCGGGGAGAGCGTGGGCGTCCCTGCTCTGGCGGTGAGGCTAAGGAGGGCTGGGAGGTGCAGGATGCACGGGCTTAGCACTTGAGCCTATGATCAGCTTAGGCGGCAGGGCCCTGGGTCTCCAGACCATCTGTTTTATCCAAAGACTGTGAGCGGATGAGGAGCTGGGAGGCTCAGACACCATCGCCACGGGCTTCCGGACAGGTGCTGTGAGCTGCAGGCTCCTTCCCGGCAGGTGAGGGGGCATTAAGGTTGTGCTGGCCTGGGACTCACTGTTGCCTGTTTTAAAAGGCATCTTTATTTTAAAGACAGAGTGACAGACAGAGATCTTTAATCCCTTGATTTACTCCCCAGCGATCCTCAATAACCAGGACCGGACCAGCAGTTGGGCACACCATCTGAGTTTCCCACGTGAGTGGTAGGAACTCAAGTACTTGGGCCGTCCGTCATCTGCTGCCTTCCAGGGCACAGCAGGCACAGAGTTGCTGCCAGGGAACCAGGCAAGTACCTGGCACAGAATGAAGGCAGGCATTGCGCACGCCGAGGCCTAGCCTGCCCCACACCACAATGCCTGCCTTCAGTCTGATACCCTCCTTATCAGTAATGATAACTTGCTCCTGGTAGTATCAAGAATGGGCCAGGCAGATTATTAAAGTATGTTGCTTTGCACTCAGTTCGCAGAATGGTCCTGGCATGAGGTGGGTGCTGAGGGAACACTCAGTGGCAAATGAGGAAAGAAAGCAGGATTTAGGGACGTTGCATTACCCAAGGCCACCTGGGGGAGGAGGGAGCAGAGCTGGGGCCAAAACTGGGGTCCTGTCGGCTCCAGGGTTCCCCTCCAGCAAGTCTGCTCCTCCACCAAGACTTGGAGAAAAAAAAAACCTTTTCCCCCTATGGAATAGCTACTTGACTTTCTCCATAATTCTTATGGCGAGAAACTTTTTTTTTTAAGATTTATTTTTAATTTTTAAATTATTTTTATTGGAAGGTAAGATATACAAAGAGGAGGAGAGATATAGAAGAAGATCTTCTGTCCGATGATTCACTCTACAAGTGGCCACAATGGCTGGAGCTGCGCTGATCAGAAGCCAGGAGCCTCTTGTGGGTCTCCCATGTGGGTGCAGGGTTCCAAGGCTTTGGGCCGTCCTTGACTGCTTTCCCAGGCCACAGGCAGGGAGCCAGATAGGAACCGGTGCCCATATGGGATCCCAGCACATGTAAAACAAGGACTTTAGCCACTAGGCTACCATGCCGGGTCCAAGATTTATCTCTATTGGTAAGTCAGATTTACAGAACGAAAGAGCTTCCATCTGCTGGTTCACTCCTTTAACGTCCATTATGGTTGGAGTTGAGCTGATCCAAAACCAGGAGCCAGGATCTCCTTCTGGGTCTCCTGCATGGGTGCAGGGTCCCAAGGTTTTGGGCCGTCCTAGACTGCTTTCCCAGGCCACAAGCAAGGAGCTGGATAGGAAGCAGCCAGGAGATGCTCAGGTGTCCGTTTATATGGGATCCTATCAGTTGTGGGTAGAGAATTAGCCAATTGAGCCATCGCACTGGAGAACCCCAGGAAACTGCTTTGTGTGGCTTCTCTACTCCCTGCAGAGATGGACCTTGCTCCCCTGACAAGATTGTGCCTCCCCTGTTAGACTGGGAGCAGTCTTACTGTGCAGCAGGGCTGGAGGGAGGCAGGGAAGAGCTGTTGGACTTGAGGACCTGCCCAAGCAGGGAGTAGAAGTGGACAGCTGGAGGGCGCTGGAAGCGTGGGTGGGATTTACACTCGTGGCTGTTGATTCCTTCCCCGGGCTCAGGTGTCTCGCGGCAGCATGGCCCAGGACCTCAGCGAGAAGGAGCTGCTCAAGATGGAGGTGGAGCAGCTGAGGAAGGAGGTGCTGAACCCCAGAGCGCCGGTGAGCCTGCCTTCCCTGCCTCCCCTTCTCTGCTCTGTGACTCTTGCTGCAGTGCGGGCAGGCAATGATGGGAAGCAGGGGAGGGGCAGCAAAGGAACGGCATGTGTAGGGTGGAAGAGGGGACTGGACAGAGGACAACAAGGAGGAGGAAGCAGCAGGCCTGAGACCTCGTCAGGGAGCTGCACTTCCCCAGCCCAGGAGAGAACTTTCCCATTCCAGGGCTGGGTCTGCCCAAGCTGCACGCAGGAGTAAGAGTCCAAGTTCAAGGTCAAGTCAAGGGACTCTCACTACCTCCCACCCATCTACCCTCCATCGTGGCTCACAACCCCGATGCCCAGAATCCTGTATCCTTCCTGTATTCTGACAGATAAACAAGGACTGAGGCCGTATTTGGTGTCTCTGCAGATTTCCAAGACGGGCAAGGAAATCAAGGATTACGTGGAGGCGCAAGCCGGAAACGACCCTCTTCTCAGAGGTGTCCCCGAGGACAGGAATCCCTTCAAGGAGAAAGGCTCCTGTCGGATAAGCTGATGTCCCGGAGCCCTCAGCCTGCGCATTTGGTCCTCTTTGGCCAGACCCCAGTGTCCTGGGACACCCAGGCGACCAGCGAACTGGCTCCCTCTCCCGATCCCACAGTGCAGAGCGCACCTGCCCCTCCTCCACTTTGGACTCTTTTTCCTCAGTATCTCCTCTTCCCATCCAGTGGCGAGCTTGGCCACCTGAGCAGTGGGCATCCAGGACAGGAGTGCCAGGGAAGCCTCTGGGAAGCGCTCAGCTCAGGGCTGCTCTGGGCTCTGCTGTCTCCACTGCTCACCACACACTTTGCACACCAGCGTAATTTGGAGTGAGGTACTCTCTTCCCAGCTGCTTGGATCGCGCCCATGGGCTCTGATGACAAAAACAGTTTATAAAGTTCTCTTTCAGGCATTCTCCCACATTGTCTAATGTTTATTTCATGCTGGGCACAGGGATAGAAAAGTGGGCAAACTTAGCATGGCTCTCTCTCTCTCTCAAGATTATTTTTATCAGAAAATAAAGATTTCCAGAGAGACAGAAAGACCTTCTGTCCACTGGTTCACTCCCCAAAGAGCCACAACGCCAGCGCTGAGCTGGACCAAAGCCAGGAGCCAGGATCTTTCTCTGGGTCTCCCACGTGGGTGCGGGGTCCCAAGGCTTTGGGCCGCCCTCGACTGCTTTCCCAGACCACAGGCAGGGAGCTGGATGGGAAGCAGAGCAGCCAGGATACCTGTGCCCATATGAGATCCTGGCACATGCAAGGCAAGGACTTTAGCAACTTGGCTACCGTACTAGGCCTGATGGCTCTCATTTTTTTTTTTTTAAAAAAGATTTTAGTTACTTATTTGCAAGGTAAAATAACAGAGGGGAAGCAAGAGATCTTACACCTGGTGCTCTATTACAACTGGGGCTGGTTCGGGCGAAGGCCAGGAGCCAGGAGCTTCATCTATATGTGGGGCACAAGCTCAAGTTCCTGGCCATCTTGCTTTCCCAGGCCATTAGCAGGGTGCTAGAACAGCCAGGATTCAAACTAGTGCCCATATGGGATGCAGTTACTGCAAAGAGTTAATCACTACACCACAATACCAGCGTTGGTTCTCTCCCTCTCTTTTTTTAAAGATTTATTTTTTTTTATTAGAAAGTCAGATATACAGAGAGGAGGAGAGACAGAGAGGAAGATCCTTCCTCTGATGATTCATTCCCCACGTAGCAGTAACGGCTGGAGCTGAGCCAATCTGGAAGCCAGGAGCCAGGAGCCTCCTCCAGGTCTCCTACTAAGGATCCCAAGGCTTTGGGCTGTCCTCCACTGCTTTCCCAGGCCACAAGCAGGGAGCTGGAAGGGAAGCAGGGCTGCCAGGATTAGAACCAGCGTGCATCTGTGATCCTGGCATTAGCTGCTAGGCTACCATGTCTGGCACCAACAGCAGCCACGGGTTTACTTGGGCAACATTAAAGGGAGAAAGAGCGGCAGAAAGGCAATTGAGGAGGTAATTTCTATACCTTCAGAAGAGGGAGGAGGGGAGGAAAGCTGATAAAGCTATTAGGGAAATAAAATTCCCTCCCCTTGCTATCTCCTTAAATTGTGGGTGGAGAAGAGGGAGTCTCCAGGTTGAACTGCAGTTTTGTGGCCTGGGGCACAGAGAAGATAGCTGGGAGCAGATGTCAGAACTGAAGCCAGCTAACAAGGCACCTCCCTATGTACACAGCCACAGTCTCTGCCTGTCTCCCTCCCACACAGCCCGATGGTCAGGCCCTGGGGTCCAGGCTCTCCAACTCCATCCTGACTGCATCCCACCATCCTATCACCCGCAGTACAGATCTGTCCACTCTGATCAAAGAAAAGGCAAGCAGTGAGAGAGAGAGGACTCGGAGACACTGTCTGCTCTCCAGGCCGGCTCTCCCTTCAGGCACAATCTTGCTGACCCCGCAGGGGTTCCTGGTCCAGGGCAGGGACTTTCACCTTCACCCTTGGGAAATCTGAACCCTTGGGGAGATCTTTGCACTAGCAAAGATAGTGTAGCTCCTTTGACCCCTTGGGCACTGTGACCCCTCCCTGCATGACCCACCCAGTGTCTCCCCTGGTGTACCCCAGGACAGGGTTATCATTTCAGGACCCCAGGTCAGCCCCCAGCCTGCTTTCCTTTCTTTTTTCCTTCTTCTTTTTAAGATTTACATACTTTTATTGGAAAGGCAGATATACAAAGAGAAGAGACAGAGAGAAAGAGCTTCCATCCACTGGTTCATTCCCCAAGAGGTTCTATTGCTGGCCACAGCTGAAGTGATCTGAAACCAGGAATTCAGAGCCTCTTTAGGTCTCACACGCAGGTGCAGGGTCCCAAGGTTTTGGGTCAGCCTCGACTGCTTTTCCAGGCCACAGGCAGACAGCTGGATGGAAAGCGGGGCCATCGGGACTAGAACCGGCACCCATATGGTATCCCAGCAGGTGCATGCAAGGCAAGGACTTTAGTTACTAAGCTACTGGGCCTGGCCCATAAAATTGTTCTTAATCTTAGGAGAAATAAAGAAGAAAGAGAGAAAGGAAGAAAGAAGGATGGCCTAGTGACTAAAGTCCTCGCCTTGCACACTCCAGGATCCCATATGGGCACTAGTTCGTATCCCAGCAGATCCACCTCCCATCCAGCTTCCTGCTTATGGCCTGGGAAAGCGGTTGAGGATGACCCAAAGCCTTGGGATCTTGCACCCGATGGGAAACCCGGAAAAAAGTTCCTGATTTCAGTTTGGCTCAGCTCCAGCATTGTGGCCAATTGGGAAGAGAACCAGTAGATGGGAGATATTTCTGTGTCTTCTCTCTGTAAATCTGACTTTCCAATAAAATGGAAGGAAGGAAGGAAGGAAGAAAAGAAGGGAGGAAGGAAGGAAGGGGAGAGAAAAAAGCAAGCAAGCGAGCAAGCTAGCTGCTGTGATGCCACTGGCTCAATTCAGGGCCCACCCAGCTGCTGAGGACTGCACCCCATCTGTGTACAGTGGGGTCACCATGCCGGCAGCACGCAAGGTCTCTACCAGGCCAGTCCCTCCCTCTAATGATCAGAGAACAGCTGATGCATGCAAGAGAGCTTAGAGGGAGCAAAGCCCGCAGGACCCAGAGGTTGACTGAATGTCAGGGGTCATGGACAACCTCCAGCCTTGTTCTAGGATGACTGGGTCACTGATGGTCTTACTTGCAGGAAGCCCCTCCCCTCCGGCGGACTCTGCATGCCTCCCCAGCTTTCTCCCCGCCCTGAGGAGGCTCACTGAGAGGTAGTGGCCGGTAGGAGGCAAGCAGACAAGATTGCTCATGAGGCCCGAGAGAGGAGGGCCAAGAGCTGAACCTGGGGGAGGACCAGCAGCTCAAGCTGAGTGGGAGGATGAGGACCAAGAGGAAGCGTCAGGCATGGGGTGGGGGGGCTCCAAACTGAGACCCAGGAGTTCCCTGCTGAGGCCCCTGAGCCAGCACGGAGTCAGGGCAGGGATGCTCTTGACTCTTTGATTCTGAAGCCAACAACCACAGAGCTGAGTAATTGTCCGGTTGCCTTCCCTGCCTGCTGTACTGGAGGCTCAGCTTGGATCCCCGTCAGTGGAGGAGAGGGGAAGGGAGGCAGGGACCCTCGGACTGGGCGATGCAGGCTGCAGCCTAGGCTAGAGTTCCCTCCCCATGAACCTCACAGCCCAGCCCCTCCTAGCTCTCACTTCCTTGTGGCTCTCATCACAGAGGCAGGAGGACAAAGCCCCACACAGGATCTTGAGTGTTCATCATCCGGGCAGTGAACCGGCCCCTCCATTCATGACCTCAGGTCTACCCCCAGCTCCCAGTCCCCTCCCTGCGCCTGGGAGCCCTGAATTCAGGCAGGCGAGCCAGCTTTAGACACTGCAGCAGATGCCATCTCATGGGGCCTGTGATTGGTGTTAGTAGCTCTGATGTCCCTGTCATGAAATGCTGAACAATTCACTTAGTATATGGCCAGCCTGGTGTCAGGACACAGGGACGGGACCTGAGAAGCAGGATGCTCACCCAGGGGCAGTGTTGAAAATGGGGGGTCAAGTTGCAGGATCTCCCTGGCAGCTCCCCTCCCCGTTTCTGAGGGTGAGAAGTTAAGGTGGTGAGAAGCAGGGAGGCACTCTGAAGTAGCTGCCGGATGGCCCCGGGGTACCATCCTGTCCCCTCTCCTCACCCTCCCCGCCAGCCCCTGCTCCTTTATTACAGCAGGGAATTAGGGGCAGCTTCAGAGCCAAGGGAGCAGGAGCAGGAAGCCAGGAGAGCCAAGGTGAGAAGCAGCTGCTCTAGGGACGTGCGGCGTCCCTGTGTCCCCAGCCCGTTGGTCCTGCTGGCCTCAGCCATACAATCCCAGGCAGTGCTGTTCCTGTCCCCCCACACCCCAATCTCATTCATCTCGGTCTTTCACCTAAGTAGGAGGGACTCCCGCTCTTGAGCTGTCATCCGCTGCCCCCTGGACGGACGTTATCAGGAAGCTAGATCAGAAGCAGAGTAGCTGGGACTCCTCCAGCCCTCGGATATGAGATGTTGGGGCGTCACAGGTGGCAGCTTTATGTGCTGTGCCACGATGCCAGCCCCTTGTACCCCTTCTTGTTTCTCTACTCCGTATAAGACCAACTCGGGGCTCCAGGATACTGATGACACCAATGGGCCTGCCTGCCATCTCCCCCCTCACCCCCAGGCTTTGAAGCTTCTCTTAAATGCCTTGGCTGGTTCACGTGGGGCTGGGAAAGCCTTATTACCTAGTTAATTCCTCTAGTAAGTCACAAATAGGTTAAGCATCGCTCAGTCCCTGAGACCTTGTGGCTGAGTAAATAATTAGGTAGATTGAAGTTCAAAAGGTGTGGGAGGGAGTAAGCCAGCAGTCCCTGTCTCCGTTCCATGCTCCCCCCACCCCGTCCCAGCGTGGGAGGAACCCATGCCTCCAGTTTCTCATGGGCGCTCCCACGGGCCTTGCACACCCACTCAAGCCAGTACCCTAACCTCCCCCCTTCTCATACCAACGGCAGCACACAGTGCATTT